TAATCTCATGGAACCACTGTCACATACGTGGGCTGTCATTGACAAAACGTTATGTGGCACATGCCATCATATATGTATGTTTAGTAGACAATCAGGCTATAACTTGTTTGGCCACCTTTTTTTTTTAACTAAGATTTTAGAGATTTGAAAAATTCCTCTTTACGCCTTTGCTAGTGTTGTCCCTGTTCTAAGTCAGTGTATTTTTGTTAATACCACCCCCCACACCCTTACAGAGAGATGGAGTTTTGTCTAGGATCTTGCTGATTAGCTGGGGCATGGGGCCAAGTGGGTCAGCGCTGCTGTGGGGCTGACCTCTTTCTGCTGGCAGGTAGAGTGGGTGTTCTAGCCTCCAGGCTTTTTCTGGCAGGAGGAAGACATGAGGACGCAAGTAAGGCCTCCTAGATCCTTAAGTGCAGCCTTTTGACTGAATCCAAATTTTACAGAACAAATCCTTTTATTAAAAGGGATACAGCAGATAAAGATGAAGCTTTTCTTGCCTCCTTTGGTGCTTATAAAAAAGAGCAATCTTGAAATCGGAAGGCAGCAGGTTCCCCACCCCTGACGTCCACCTATGATAGGAAACAAGAGGTCCTGGGCCAAGGCAGGGAGAGGAGCAGACCTTAGGCTTAACTAAAGACCAGACTCTGCAAGACGACCTGCTTGGGTGGGCCTGGGAGAGCTTGCTTTGTCTTGACTTCAGTAGTCCTAAGGCTTCATTCAAACTAATTTTCCACACATCTTACTCATGTTAAGGAGATGAAAAAGACCCACTGGTTCAACCACTGCACTGTGTGGATCTCACCAGTGAAGCTGGGGCTATTTTGGTATCAATAGAAATAGAATATGTAAGTCCCTTGCATAAAAAATAACATCTCCACTACCCTCAGGTCTCCTACCTCATCCTGTAGGCACTGACCAAGAGCAACAACTTCAGAAGCGCAGACTAAATAATGTAGTTTAGGGCACTCCGTGGTGAACAGGTGGACAGCGAGAAGTCTGTTTCCATACTGATGCTATACATACACAAACAGGTACTAGCCTGGTGTGCGTGTGCTTGACTGTCATGCGTGGTTCTTGTTTTCCTATCACTGATCCATCTGGTAATTGAAAGGGACCCACAAACCTTCACCTTGCCATATGTCAATGGACCAAAAACAATAACCCTTCTTTTCATCTTTACTTTCTTCTCAAGGAATTCGATCATCCTGTCTCTGGTTCTGAACTTTGTAGTGGAGAATGAGAATTTGGGGACCCTGGGGAAACATGTGAAACTTAACACTAGGAGTTCTAGTCCTTGTTCTGTCAGATCTTTGAAAGCTCAGGTCTGCCTGAATTAGTTGAGAAACAGAATCTAGTGCACAAGTTGTCTCTGGAAGAGTGAGCATGGGACCTTGTTAAAGAGGTGTGTTTTCAAAATCAGGTGGATAGAAGTCCTTGCTTTTTTGAGTACACAAAAATACCAACAAAGGTATTAAAGCTGGTTCTTTTCAGCCTAACTTAAAGAATGGATAGGTTGTACAGTATTTTTTACTTAATTCCAGATGCTACTTCAGCACAGGAAACAAAACCTAGTTCACTTGGGGAGGGGTGGAGAAAAGACTAGGAGTTAGCACTCTGCCTTCTGTGTTAAACAAAAGTTTAATTAGGCTAATACAGTTTACTTAAACATGCCAATCCTCAGCTAGGGGCTGCAGCAGTAATCGAAGAAATGGGCTAGTGTCTCAAAGCCAGGCCTCAAAGTTGCCAGGCCTCAAAGTTGCCCAGCCTGACGTTAGGCTATGCAAACAGCCCAAAGGGCAGGGTTGGTCAAAGTCAACTAGGATTTAAAAATCCATTCAGGGTAAGCAGTGGCTTTAGTACTAACACAAACCACCATATAAACCAATAGGGTCACAATGCAGACCCAGTCCTACTGTTGAATATTTTAACACAGGCTATTTAATATAAATGAAAACTTACAGAAGCTGAAGTGTCAGCACATATTCTAAACTTAATATTTATTTTCAACCTTGCCTCACTTCTGCTGCCTCACTGGCCTAACCAAAAAAAGCTTTAGAAAGGGACTGCTTTGCTTGCCCCCATGGAGCAGGGCCAGCTATGCATTTCATCCCAGCAGGATGGTATTATTTCAGATTTCATTCGCTTTCAACATTCAGCAGTTTATCCACCGGCAAGGCCAAGGTTGATTAAAAGTCATCCATAAAAGAGAAATGAACAACTTTAACACACTGGCTAGGAACGCAGTAACTTTTGGAGAAAAATCTCAATGCTAGACATAGTCAAACCAAGGTGATGTGCAGATCCAGAGACTGACAGTTGTCCTGGAATCTTAAGCTATTTATCAAACTCCCATAATCCTATACCTGAAACACAAGGATGCCTCTCCCTGACAATTATTTCCTACTGCTTTTTAAAAAAAGCCAAGAGTCTTTTACTAAGCTGAATGCTGGCCTGGTAGTGATATTTCTATTTCAATCAAATTATGGAGGGGGACCGGGCATAGTGGCTCACTGTAATCCCAGCACTTTGGGAGGTTGAAGTGGGAGGATTGCATAAGGCCAGGAGTTCAAGACCAGCCTGGGCAACAGCAAGACCCGTCTCTTAAAAAAATTTTTTTTTTTTTTAAATTAGCCGGTGTGGTGGTGTGTGCCTGTAGTCCCAGCTACTCAGGAGGCTGAGGCAGAAGAATCGCTTGGGCCCAGGAGTTTGAAGTTGCAGTGAGCTACGATGATCCCACTGCACTTCTGCCCAGGCAACAGAATAAGACCCTGTCTCAAAAAAAAGGAAAAAAAATTATGGAAGGGGAAAAACACTCAGCCTGGACTTAGTTCAGTCCTACCAGGTCTAAGTTTTCAGCGAGGATGTCCTCATTAGAAGACCCAACTTGCACATCAGATCAATCCCAGCCCCATAGGAGCTATTGCAGAAAGAGCCAGATTTGGATTTCAGAGTTCTAGTGCCACCAAATTATTTTGCAGTAGCAATCTCTTCTATCATTTTCCCTTTTACTTTACTATGAGAGAAATAATTGCCTTATATTGTAGATTCCCAATGCCACAGTCCATAGACTATGAAGATGTGATGAGCACACACGGACAAACAACAAATGGTCAAGGGTTAAAGTCAAGTTGAACCTAGTCTATGACCACCATAGAATTGAGTTCTGGAATAGATGATTATATCTGAAAACAAGTTTAAAAATTCAATTACTTAAAATAATTTGGTAGTGAGAATTTTCAAACAATATTAAATGCAGAACAATTATTCCTCAGCACCGTCATTTGTTAGAGTCTTTCTGTGGTCATTATGCTGTCCATTTACAATATGAAGTAGAAATCCAACTGAAGACAGTAGAGGACCAAGATTTTTTTTTTGACAGGCTCTGCCAGTACAGGACATCTCAGATAATGATGTCACTATATTAGTAAGCTCTCCTTTTCTAATAGTTACTAAGGTAATCCTGGGCAAGAGGTCTATGACGGTGTAATTTCATGGAAGCCATCCAACAAACATGGTTTTGCACTGCCTGAAGAAATGTCCTCTGAATACTTTTTGAAGCTGACTTAAGATTTGTTGTGTCTGCTTATACTTATTTCTAACATTTCTGCATTTTGGCCTCCACAATCACTTAAGAAAAATTTATCCTTAAACGTTTTGATGATAACAAAATTGTGAAAATTGTGAATATGTATCTTCATTTCAATTTTCACTGTAATGCATATTAATTTTAGTGTCTTCCCTGGGGAGAATGATAGCTTTTACAGTAATTCAGTAATATCAAAAATGACGATGAAGTTGGTTCCAAAGGTTGAGGCTAAAGATGAATAGCAGCCCATTTTTAATATATACCAAGGCTGAAGTCGCATGTCAGCACATCTGATGGTGCAGAACAGAATCAGAACGCCTCTACCCATCTCATCCAAACTCCCTTAATTAGCTACTGATGACTGCTACTGCCAGCGACCACAAGGACCAACTCAGACCTCTGTACAGAACGGCCTCTCCATGACCCAGACCTTTAATATGGGTCCCCAGCTCTACTTTTATCTCCCTAAAACTTCCCCTAGGAGGCTTTTTGAAAAAAAGTATTTACACATCAGTTTATATGAAATAAATGCTTTATGCTACTGAGTAGAGCTCAACTGTTACACTGACTTGAGCTCAGTGGAAATCCTATTTCCCTTTTTAAAAATGACAAGATTCTAGTCCCACTTTGGCTCTAGAATTATTGGCAGAAAATAACATTAAGAAAATGGATGACATTTTAACTCAATGCTCAAACACAGAGCCAATGCCTGAACATTTTGGAGAAATTTATTTTAGCTAAGGTCATATCTGTTACATACCAAAGCCAGGATCTAAACCCAACTCTAAAACCCATGTTTCCAAATATATCATAGTTTGGAAGTGCTATTAGGTGCCAGAATGCTCAATAAACTTTCAGCAATATTGAAGACAGAATGATGTGACAATCTTTACAACCTCTGCAACAATTACAAATGCTCAATAGGTATTTACTAAATTAATACAGTGAGACCACTTAAAGATTCAGGCCAGGCCGGGCATGGTGGCTCATACCTGTAATCCTAGCACTTTGGGAGGCTGAAACAGGAGAATCACTTAAGGCCAGGAGTTTGATACCAGCCCAAGCAAGATCAAGACCCTCTCTCTATAAAAAATAAAGAAAAATCAGCCAGGTGTGGTGGTGTGTTCCCATAGTCCCAGCTACTGGGCAGGCTGAGGCAGGAGGATCACTCAAGCCCAGGAGTTTGAGGTTATAGTGAGCTATGATGATGCCACTGCAGTCTAGCACCAGCAACAGAGTGAGACCCTGTCTAAAAAAAAAAGATTCAGGCCAGGCAGGCACCAGATTTTCAAACCCACAGTGTTCAAGAAATAAAACCATCCAAGTGTGGAAGCCACATCCAACAGGCTGAACCTATAAAGCAATAAAAGACAAGGATTTCCTGGTAAGACTTAATGAAGACAGAAATCGGGGATTATAAATCTATAGTTTTATTAAGACAAAAACTGACAGTGTGGTATGAAGTTTACATTTAAACAAAATTTCACAGAAATCTAGCACATGCCTAAAAAGATTTTACAATGTAGCTCTAGTTGCAACTCTAGAAGATGTCAAGAACTGATGGATCTTGTGATTCAAGACAGAGTATTTTGGGTATCATTTAATTCTTAGGATTTTTTAAAAAATGTTTTTTGTTTGTTGTGTTTTACAGCAAACCATTGCCCCAGTATGAAAGTTTAATCTTCTCCTGAGACCAGGGCTTTTGAAATCATTCAACTCTTGAACTGATTCAATGAAACTTGTGCTGTCAGTGACTGAACCCTGCTACCAATGGTTTTAGAGTTCAAAGTTCAAAAAACAACAACAACAACAACAACAACAAAAACCAGAGAGGCTCCAAGAGTTCTCTGCCTTAAGAGCATGGGCCCTTGTCTTCCCTACTGTCCCATCTCAAAAGTTCAAAGAAAAAAAACAAAACAACAACAGAGAGGCTTTCACGAGTTCTCTGCCCTAAGAGCATGGGCCCTTGTCTTCCCTACTCTCCCATCTCCTGTACCACCCTCTTCCCCAACACCTCAGCCAGTGGCTTGGATGAATAAGCTATTTATAACTTCGTAACTGGAAAAGAAAGGGTCGTCTTGTTTAATTTTAGGAATTAGCACCTCTAGGACAGAATGATCTGCCGATGTATACTCTCCAATACAAGACTTTCCTCTCTTCAGTCAGTTTCCATCTCCACAATGGCAGCTTTGGTAACTTATGAGCTGGCTTAGTACTTTGTGGGGAACAGCATTAAGTTCAGGCAGGGAACACCTTGGCTTACAGGTTTCAGGCATTCACAGCTTTTAAACAGTCTCTCACAGTCCTCATTTGTGGTGCCAATGGCATTTTTTGAAAAGGTAAAATATTATGGACATAGAAGCAAATCATTAGTTGTCTGTTCTTTCCATTATTTCACCATTTCCCCAATCAGGCCCCAAATTTTAACCAAAATGATCCTACTCATCTCCTTTCTTTTCCACCCCATCCCTCCCACCCCCAAATAATACACCAGTAATAGCCAAAAACTACACACATGCTACGCTGTAAAAATGCAGAGTTAACACTATTGGGAAGAAGGCTGTGGGTTGTGGAGATGCTCTTTGAAGATCTACAGTATCTTTTTGTTCTCCCACACACCCAATTCTACAAGTTTTGTCCTTCATAGAAGGCCCTTTGCTTTTCTCAACAAAGTGCAGAATGGGTTGCCTTGAAACACTTATCCCCCCTTCCCCTCCACTGGGATGGGTGTGCAAACTATACAGCTTGAACGGCTTTAAAGCACTTTGGGCTGCTGCAGGGCACAGAAACTATACTGGCTCTTCAAAGGACATCTTCTCAAGCCACCTCTATGGTGTCAAGACAAGTAAAACTCCTTCCCTCCCCACTTGAAACCCACAGTCAGATATGACAGGGGCTGGTACTCAGAGTTAATTCTTGTCATCTTTTTTGTCATCATCCTCCGAGGGGTAGGAATGCCACGTCAGCCTTTCCTCATAGAAGGATATGACAACCTGTGGGCACTTGACATTGGCTTCCTTGGCAGGGACCAGGTCAGCCTCATCAGAATTTTTCCTGCAGAACAAAGCACAGAGAGACTTTGAGACCAGGTGCTGGTGGTCTATCCTAGCAAGAATAACACAAAGGACAGTGCTTTAAAAATATTAACTCCAGAAAAATAAGCTATGGAAGGGTGAAAACATGGCCCAAGCAGCATTTACTGGTAGCTTTTAGTCAAGTGACATCCTCAGAGATCCTCTCCTGTTGAAAATCCCTTCTGGGTATCTTTGTCAAAAGCTAGGACAGGCTGAGCGTGGTGGCTCACGCCTTGTAATCCTAGCACTCTGGGAGGCACTCGTTTGAGCTCAGAAGTTCGAAACCAGCCTGAGCAAGAGCGAGACCCCGTCTCTACTAAAAATAGAAAGAAATTAATTGGACAACTAAAAATATATACAAAAAAAACCTAGCTGGGCATGGTGGCGCATGCCTGTAGTCCCAGCTACTCGGGAGGCTGAGGCAGGAGGATCGCTTGAGCCCAGGAGTTTGAGGTTGCTGTGAGCTAAGATGACGCCACGGCACTCTAGCCCGGGCAACACAGTGAGACTCTGTCTCAAATAAAAAAAAAAAAAAGAATTAGGAGGATGGCAGATAATCCAAGACAAGGTAGAAAGAGTTACTACTCTGCTGGAGTTTAAGACAATACCAATTTGAGGTTAAAGTGGTTACTCCTAGCATCCTAGGAAAAAGGGAGTCTTAGTATAAGTAGAAACTCTTCTAAATACTTTAAAACTGGCATATAGAGATGAAATGCAGTTTACAAAGAGTTCATCCACAGACTACATGAAATATAACAAATCTTTCATAAATGTCAAGATCATAACTATAAATCAGTCATATCATCTACAACACTCAGGTTTCTATCGTCAGAGATATTTACATGTCTGCACTTATGAACAATGCTAACTTAATAAACATTTGTTTAGCTACTAGAAAATTCTAGACACTGTGAATACTAGAGATTCAAGAGAATAAGAAATGGTCCCTGCCTTCCTGAAGTTTAATGTCTCATAAGAAAAAATTTAGACACCTCTTCCACTAAAGGTATAGTGAACTCTAACAGAGTGGCACAAAATGTTATGAGATGATTTTAGTATGGCCAAAGGCAACATCTAAGGACCCTGTCCACACAATTCAGAAGAACTCTGCCTGAACACACATCTGATGTAGCTATCTTTTCAACATTCTTCCTCTCCATTCACATACTGATACAGACTCTGCTTCCCTTCTCTCCCCGACCCCTTGTTATCTTCTTTTAGAGACAGTTCTAGATGAGCCTTCCTTATGTTACTAAACAGACTAATAATCAGTGGATTGCATGTAATCTTTGGTGAATTCTTTTTTTTTTTTTTTTTTT